GTGGCAATAGCCTGTGTAATTTTGGGAGTCTCTTGGACTGCCTTGGTCTACAACTCAAAGGAAGATTTCTCCTGTCTGGCACTGTTTCTGTTATATAGTCTTCAGCTATACTCACAGACTCAGGTACAGATAATGTATGTGTAATTTTCAGTAGATTTTTGGACTGAGATGATTCCCTCTGATTTTTTATACTAGCTAGGCACTGTTTATCTCTCCTCTTTCTCTCTCTGTCCTATTATCCTACCCTGCCCTTCCCATTTAAAGTGTCCCCATTTTTTCCTTTGATAATTTCTGTCTGTTATGGTCCCACCTCTTTTGAGCCCCTTCTTCTCCTTTATTCCCATAGTTCTTTGTATAGCCTTCCTTCTCCTCCTCTTTACCCACCCCCCTTTTTTTTATACATTTGTACCTTAGTAACACCTGTGTCCTACTGTTCTTCTCTCTTGGGTTCCTTCTTTCCCTTTACTTCCCTGGTTTACTTCCATTTTCCTGGTTCCTGCAGTTGCATCAGGATATGCACTCACTTGTAAGGATTTGTTGCTAGGGTCCACAAATGAGGGAGAACATAAGTCTTTTGTTTTTCTGAACCTGTGTTACTTCACTTAGTATAACAGTTTCTAGATCCATCCATTTCCCTGAAAATTTCATTATTTCATCTTCCTTTACTGCTGAGTAGAACCCCATTGTGTAAATGTAATACATTTTCATTAACCACTCATCAGTTGAGGGGCACTTATGTTGCTTCCATCTCTTAGCTATTGTGAAAAGAGCAGCAACAAACATGGTTGCACAAGTGTCTCTGCAATAGGATGAGTCTTTTGGGCCTATGCCAAGGAGTGGTATAACCGGGTCATGTGGTAGGTTCATTTTTAGTTTTTTAAGAGTTCTCCACACTACTTTCCATAGGGGTTGCATGAGTTTGCAATCCCATCAGCAGTGAGTGAGTGTTCCCCTTTCCCCACATCCTCTCCAGCATTTGGTATCATTTGTTCTCTTGATCTTAGCCAGTTTGACTGGGGTAAGATGAAATCTTAAAGTACTTTTAATTTGCATTTCCCTAACTACTAATGATGTTGAACACTTTTTAAGATGTTTCTTAGCCATCTTTACTTCTTCCTCTGAGAACCCTCTGTTTAGATCTTTAGCCCATCTTTTAATTGGGTCATTTGCTTTCTTGCTTTTGTTTTTGAGTTCTTTACATATTCTGGATGTTAAACCTCTGTCAGATGTGTCACTCACTGGTGATGATTTTTTCCCACTCTATGGGTTTTCTTTTCACTTTCTTGATTGTTTCTTTTGCTGTACAGAAGCTTTTTAATTTAGTGGGGTCCCAATTGTTGATTGTTGACCTTAATTCCTGAGCAACTGGTGTCCAATTTAGAAAGTCCTTTCCTACACCTATATCTTGTAGGTTACTGCCAGTGTTTTCTTCTAATAGTTTCAGAGTTCCCAGTTTCACATTGAGGTCTTTGATCCATTTAGAGTTGACTTTTGTGCAAGGTGAAAGTTAAGAATCTACTTTCATTCTTCTACAGGTGGAGATCCAGTTTTTCCAGTACCATTTGCTGAAGATGCTGACTTTCCTCCATTGTGTGTTCTTAGCACTTTTGACAAATATCAGGTGGCTGAAATTTCATGTACTCAGATTTGGGTCTTCAGTGATGTTCCATTGATCTATGTGTCTATTTTTAAGCCAGTACCATATTGTTTTTATGACTATGGCTCTGTAGTATACTTTGCGATCTGGTACAGTTCTACCCCCAGCAATGTTCTTTGGGCTCAGGGTTGCTTTGGCTATCCAGATTCTTTTGTGCTTCCATATGAATTTAGGATTTTTTTTCTAATTCTATGAAGTATGTCATGGGAATTTTGATTGGGATTGCACTGAATCTATATATTGCTTTTGTTAGAATGGTCATTTTCACAATATTAATTCTTCCAATCCATGAGCATGGGAGGTCCTTCCATCTTCTGATCTTGGTTTTTACATATTTATTATTTTTATTATTTTATGTGTATGAGTATATTGCCTGTATGTATGTGAGTGCACCTGTGTCGTGCAATGCTGCAGAGGTCAGAAGAGGGCTTTGGATTCCCCTGGAACTGGAGTTAAGGACGGTTTGTAGCCACCATGTGGGTGCTGGGAATCAAACCCAGGTCCTCTGCAAGAACAGTCAGTGCTCTTAACTGCTGAGCCATCTCTCCAGCCCCCTGATCTTGGTTTTTAATTCAATCGGCTAGTCTGTATCTTTGTATTGGGGAGTTAAGGCTATTTACATTTTGGGTTCTTATTGAAAGAGGTTTGCTGATCCCTGCAATTTTGCTGTTTTGTTTTTTTTTTTTTCTGATCGAGTGGCTTCTTTTCTTCTTTATAAATAGGAGTTTGCTGGTCTACTGTTAGGTATTTCTTCCTGGCTCTCCTTTGCTCATCTGTTCCTCTCATGAACTCTATTCTTTCTTGGGCTTTCATGATTGAGCCTTTCTTTCTCCTTTGTATATAATATTCCTTTAAGTCATTTCCACAATGCTGGCTTGGTGATCATGAACTGCTTTAGTTTGTCCTTATCTTGAAATGCCCTTATTTCTCTGTAATTTTAACTGATAATTTTGCTGAGTATAGCAATCTTGGCTGGTGGTTATTTCTTTTCAGGGCTAATAATACATTGTTCCATATTTTCCTGCTTTTATGATTGCTGATGAGAGATCTGATGCTATTCTGATGTGTTTGCCTTTGCAGATGAGTTGGTGTTATCTCTTTATAGCTTTTACGGCCTTTAACATCATTTCTTTACTTTGTATTTCCAGATTGGCAGGCGTGGTAGCAAGTGGCTTTATCCACTGAGCCATCTCACTGGCCTGACATCTTGATGATAGTATGTCCTGAAGAGTTTTCTTTGGTTGTGTCTATTTGGGATTCTAAATGCCTCTTGTGTCGACATCTGTCCATTGCTCTAGATTTGGGGATTTTCCTGTTATAATTTCACTGAACAAATTCTCTATGCCTTTAGTTTCAAGTTCATCTCACCAGTGGATTCTTTGAGCTCTTAACTACCCAGCAGATTGAATTCCTCATTCAGCATATTTTTACCCATCTCAGTATCTTTTAATTCATTTGTTAGAGAAGTTATGATCGTGCTGGATGTGGTGGTGCATACCTTTAATCCTGGCACTTGGGAGGCAAAAGCAGGCAGATCTCTGAGAGCGAGGCTAGCCTGGTGTACTGGTCTACCAGTTCCAGGCCAGCTAAGGCTACATAGTGAGACCCTGTCTCAAAACAAAAACAAAAACAAAAACAGAAGCAGGGCTGGAAATGTGGCTCAGTGGTTAAGAGCACTTGTTCTACCCAGTGGATTATCTTTCTAGTTTCTCACTACAGGTCCTTTAACTTTGTAGGATAAGCTATCTCAATGCAAGTTTTGTCTCAGCTGTCTTTGAGTCATCTATACTCCTAAAAGAAATCCCTTGCTCCTACTCCTGTAAGTAACTCCAATACTACTGGTTCACTAAGCTAGATTTGGGTGGAATCCTTTCTTTGTTCTGTCATTGGTGTCTTACCTGGGGTGAATACACACATTCATATCTTCACAGGAAAAGCCATGCAGCAGATGTTTTGATCATGCCTTTTCCCTCTTTACTGATGTTTGAATGTAGTATATTTCCTGGACCTTGTCCTTCATCCCTGAAATCTTCTGTTTGATCAAGTCTGTTGATGATGCTTTCTACTGTTTTTGAGTCATTTAGCTTTGCATTTTCAACATTATCCTTTTTTTTCCTCCTCTCAGTTTCCCAACTGACTTTTTCATCCATATTGCTGATTTTCTCAGCCATTTTTTTGGATTTTCCCATCTATACTGCTGACTTTCCTTTCCAGGTTCTGGATTAATTACTTTATTTATTTGCTTGTTTGTATCCTGTTATAGGGTTTTGGATGAGTGGTGGTCATCTAGGGGATCCACTGAATTCATTCAGTGGGACAAACCAGTGGACGCCCAAGAGGGCAGGGCAGAGGAGGGAGTATGGGGAGGGATAAGTAACACGAAAGGCCTTTAGAAAATTCCACATGGAAGCCTACACCTACCACTATAGAAGCTTCTGAAAGTATATGCATATACATTATAAAAAGAGAATAAAAGGAGTTACCTTATAACAGGGGGCCATTGCCCCTTCTAGACATCATAGGCTAACAAGAAAAACCCTCAATGCCAGGCATGGATTCCCTCTCTAGAAGCTGCTGACCAGGGGTCCCATAGACCTTCAAATAATACTGGCCAAAAATAAATTTTAAAAAAGTTAAAAACAGAAAATTAAAAAATAACTATCAGTGGAGAGGTGAGTTCAACTTGTAGACTCTTGTCTTTCCTATAACTTAGGTTTGTACTGAGCCTGTATTGGAAAAATATGCAGTTCCCACCAGAGTGGTATTTAGTAGCTTCCCTTCATTGTGTATAGGGGGTCTCTGCTGGCAACACTTAGTTTTGCTGTCTGTGGGCTGTGGGAGAGTCTCCCATCCTCCAGAGACTCTCCGGATCATATGCCGTGGATCAGGGGAGCTAATGTTCTAAGAAGCTGGGGATGTCTTCCAAGTATACTGGGATTGGCAGAAGCAGCCACAACACTGAGTTCTATAGAGGTGGACCTTTCTTTACACTTTCAAAGCCCACTGAACATTAATCATCCTGCTGGAAGGATGAGGATATAGATGGCAAATGGTCTGCTGGAACTTCAAAGTTCTCCAGAGGATGATCCACCCACTGACCTCTCAAACTTCAGTTAGCTGAGTCAGTGAGGTCTCCTCCCAAATACCCAGCACAGGGCCACCTTTCTTTATACACTTCATCATCTGAACTGAGTCTCATACCAACTGCACTTTTCAGCTGCCCAGTATCCAGCCCTCCCTCTTCTCCACCGCTGTTTCCTAGGGCTGTCTCTTACCCAGGGGCTGTTGCAAGTTAAATTAAAGTTCCATTAATTTTGACTGTTCCCTATTCTCTGACTCACAGGGTAGCTGAGATTTAAACAATTTGATTCTTTCTCAAGATGGTGCCCTGCCTCAGCCCACTGAAATTGAGAACTCTTCTCCACTGCTGACCCTCCCACTGAAAAGTCACTGCTTCATCAAGATCCACAGCTTTATTTGAGACTTGTGATGGCTGTGGGCTTGTCCTAAGGATAGGACGACCAGTCTCTTTTCAGCAGGGCTGCCTCTTTCTGCTCCTCCTTCCCCTGCTGCAGGGTAAGCAGTTGGAACTGTGTGTGGCTTGTCTTCTTTCCAGTGTGTGGCCTTTCTGTTTCTTTCCTTCTAAGCTGTCATGTAACCCTTTTTGTGAATTTCTACAGTTCTTCCTCTCTATAGAATAGTCTGCTTTTTCTTATACTCACACTTCACCAGGTCACACAGATGTAACTTCTGATAAACTTGTCTTGTAAGCCCAGAAGTCAACCTCTTCTTTTTATAATTAGACATTTGTTAGAGTAACAGAAAGCTATTGTGCATGGGAATAAGCCATGTGGGCTTTTCCTCATAAATGGAATAAAAGAGTTTCAAAGAGCTGCTTGGTCTTTCCATCTCTTTCACATGTGAGGATACAGCTTTTGTCCTTGTCTGTCCTTCTGTTCTTCCATTGTGAAGATGCAGCATTATCTCCTCTGAAGGATGCAGCAACAGGGTGCCACCTTCAAAGCAGAACAGCCCTTGCCAGGCACCAAATCTGCACCTTGACATTAGACTTTCTGGCCTCCAGAACTGTGAGAAACAAGTTTATGCCACTTATAAATCAGTCTTTGAACAGAACAAGACAGACTGACAACCAGTTTTATGGGACAGTCTATTTTTTCCATTGATCTGAAACGCTACCTTCACACCAAGGAACAAGCTGACCCAGGTCCCCAAGAAGCTTCAAACCAGATGTGGCCAACATGGTAACTACTGTTTCAAAAGAAAGCTGTCTAATCAGCACTGTGTGGAATCTTGGAGATTCTGCTAATAAAGATAAAAATATGGAAGTTGAGTTTTTTTCAGAAACTTAGTGAACTCTTGACTCTGGGCCCCATCAGGACCGGGATTGCTACCCAAGTAGCCTAATCAAGGGACATGCCTTCCAAGGAATGTGTTCTTGAAAAATCATGTTCAGGGGGCTGGAGAGATGGCTCAGTGGTTAAGAACACTGACTGTTCTTGCAGAAGACCCAGGTTTGAATCCCAGCACCCACATGGCAGCTAATAACGATCTGTAACTCCAGTTCCAGGGGATCTGACAGCTTCTTCTGTCCTCCACGGGCATTGCACGACACAAGTGCAGTTACCTACACACAGGCATAACACTCAAACACATAAAATAAAAATAATAAAATATTGTTAAAAGGAAAAATCATATTCAATCTAAAAAGGCGCACAACACTATTTTTTCTTCCCAAGTAATCATGGGAAGGAAGGCAGGTTAAAAGAACATAGTTCCACCAGCCTTTACACTAGGAGCACGCAGGATATATGCTTCTACGGCTGGATGCATGACTGTAAAAGTTGGCTGAGCCAGCGTTACAACATATGCGGTTTCTTTGTATAACTATCCTGTAGGATAGTGGGGTTCAACCTCAGCTTTAACACAAACACACCACCTGTTTATGACATGCTTTATCTCCTGGCCAGCCTTGTGCTGCTGTCAACTCACCCACCAGGAGTTATAGTGAAAGTAAGCTAGCCACACAATCCCAGCACCATATGGTAAACAAACCACAGCCAGGTTCAGTGGCACATGAGTGTAATTCCTGCTACTAGAGAGGCTGAGGCAGAGGATTTTGAGTTTGAACCCAGTACAAATGGAGAGAAAAGAGATGAGGTTAAGGGCAGACTCAAAACTAAAACATCCCTAGGAGTAAGATGCATGCTGCCCGGTGGCTTTCCTGATGACTAGACACTGCCGCTCCCTTGGTGGTGGCCTATGCTGACACCTGTCAGCCACTGCTGAGCAAGCAAACCTGAATGGGTGGTGAGCCTAGGCAGAAAACTCAAAAGTATTTTAAATGAAGACAGGCTGGCCTATACATTACAGCCCTAGTTTCCCTTACTATGTAGTAAAGTAGCTAGGCTATGTGAACACGGGAAGTTAGAAAAAAAAAAAAAAAAAGTATTACCCTAGAATAGGTTTAGAAAAGTAAAGTGCTTCATCTCACTTTGGCCCAGTCTCCTTGGCTCTTCTGTATCCCCTTTCCTTGGCCCACGGTCTAGTAATGGTAATATAAAGTACTCCATCAGGACTGAGGGGATAACTCAAGTCAACAAAGTGCTTAACATGTAAGCATGAAGAACTGTTCAATCCCCGAAGCCAGATATGGTGACATGCCCTTTAAATCCCAATGCTGGAAAGGCAGGGACAAGTAGATTCTTGGGGCTCACTGGGCAGTTAGCCCAGCCCAGTTGGTGAGTCCCAGGCATGTGCATGTACACACACACACACGAATACTCAGAGAAAGAGAATAATAAGTGGGAATAAAGTGCCCAGTCACCAAGAACAAACGGAGCAACCGTCATGCCTGGAGAAAGCCCCTATGGTGGTGTTGGGGGTAGAGGTGTTTCAACAATCTCCAGAAATGGAAGGACAACTGACTGCAGGTTACAGTGAAAAGCAGACCTTGGGGCGCATCCTGTGAACATGAGAAATGAAGTGAGGGAAAGCAAAAACCATGTAACAGGTAAACTAAAACATTAATGTGGTCTTTATTACATACCTGGTATTTGTGTAGCCTAACAATTTACAGAACACTATAGAACCCAGCCCAACCATTCAAATTACACTAAAGAGAAAACCTATAGGTGTATCTCTTAAAAAATACACACCATTAATATGATGCTGTTGTAACAATGTCATGGAAAGAGCCACACAGCATAAGAAAAGACTGAAGTTTGTATCCAAGTAATTTTTTTGTTATTGCACTTTATTCTACACACTTAGTATGTTACACTTTTATATAACACTGTAATGAACATTAGTCCTTTAAAAACAAAAACATTACATAAAGACAAAAACGAGCAAGCCATCATAATTTTCTTAGCAACCCTCTGGGCAAGTTGGCCTCTCCAACGTCAGGCTTTCTCAGTCTCTACTACTGCCTCAATCATACTAGATGCTAACAAAGCAGATGAAGTTAAAAGTAAAACTCCTCTAAGAACAACTGCTGCTTGGAACGTCTAGGGGAGTTTGCAGTGCAAGTATCTTAAGGCCACTCCTTCCTAACTTACTTTAACATCATACCCCATATTTAGAAGACTAAATCTCCATCTTCCTTTAAGGAAAAAATAGAACACAACGCAGCAAATACAAAATGCAAGCTCTGAACACTCAGAGAAAGCAGGTTCTCCTCTGGCAGTGCACTTCCCTGGGGCTGTTAATCTGCTGGGATACAACATGGTGTTGGGAGGCCTCCCAGTAAGCAAAATCAAACAAGCTCTCTCCAGAGCAAGGCCAGAGGTGGCACCTCAGTGGGCACCTCAGTTTTCCTAAGTGTTACTGTAATCACCAATTCCCCTGGGCTTCTCAGTGCTAAATAATAAGACAAAAAATAAAGTGTCTTTTAGTGCAGTTGCCACTTTGAAGTCCCACTACCCCAGGCCAATTCTGTCAGGAAGGACATTTTCCACCCTTCTCTGACCTTTGTGTTTTGTTTTTGTTTTTTTTTTGTTTTTGTTTTTGTTTTGGTGCTAGACATTGAACCCCAGGTCATGTACATTCTAAGTGCATGCTCTTCTACTGAACTGCACACACCCCGAGTGCTCCAGCCCCTCTTTGGCAGTCCAAGCAAAAATACAAAAATGCACTTGGGGAGCTGACAAGTACTGGTTGGTCCATAGTACCATCATTCTCCTAATCGAGCCATGGAAGTAATGCATCCTTTCCTCCCATTTCCTTGAGCTTTAGTGTTAAAAATTAGAAGCAGTGGCTGCCTAGTCTCATCTCCTTAAAGTTGATGGAGTCAAAAGTGACTCTCTTTGGTCTGGGAACGACCAGTGTAATCTTCTTTCTGACAGCAGTGAAAGATTTGCTCAGTCAAGAAGCTACTCTGCAAGGGGCCCAGGGCCTGCCCATGAACATATCCTGATCAACATAGTAGTCTTCAGCTGTGCTGCTGCTACCTGTCTAGGCACAGGGCTAACCATGCAGGGTCCCAGGCTCCACAAGCATGTCCTCTGACTGCTTTTCAGGAAGGCCTGTCATTCCATTCTAAAGCAAAAGAGTGATCAGGCTTCGTTCAAGCTCTTGAAAAACGGCTGGGTGGTCACTTGTGCTGGGGTAAACTTCCCTCAATTTTAGAAGGGTAACTCTTTATGCCAAGCCTTCTTCCCTCAGCCACAATCTCACTTCATCACTCAGGAACACAACCAAAGCCAAAAGGCAAACCTTCAAGACTTCAGTCATGCTGAACCCTATACTACTCTAGTGTCACCACACTTGCCCTTCTCCAAATACCTAGTGTCTTCCCAAGTGATATACAATACAGTACATTTCATCACTGTAATAATAATAGGTGCCAACAAACAAAGAATCCATAATTAGCTTACAATGTTATAAAATAAAAGTAAAATATACACAAATCACACACATGTATTCCCATACTCAGCCTGCTGAGTATTTAAATAACACCAAACATCCCTATGTGGCATTTGGCTGGCCTGGGGACTTTCAGGAATGCCTGCGCCTTTCTCAGATATTTTTTTCTTAGTGAACGATAATACTACTACTCATCTCCTTACTTAGCATTAGTCTCTCCCTTTCTGCCATTAGGCAAAAATTGTAGAGAATCTGTTAAAAAAAAAAATGGTATCCTGACAGATGTAGCCGCAAAGGACAGACTGAAAAAGGGACTCTGGGTAGGGGGAAAAAAAATCCAACCTCCCATATATGAGTCTAAATATGAGCTAAGATGTCCAAAGAATGTTGGGAATATGGTTTCCATACTGGAAGTACAGACTCCTGATTATAGCTAGAATTAAGACAAAGGTCTACAGTTCTCCAATTATAGGACCTTTCTTTACGTTTCACATAGAACAGACTTAAAAATAATTTTTTCAGCAAGTAGATATTACTCCTTTCTTAACTGGACACCTAGTAGGCTCCAGGAGGGCAACAAGGTGATTCTGAACACAGAGAAACTTAGTTGAGTAGGTGTTAAAATTCTAAGGGATAAATATTCTACCAAAACAAGGCTGGAGTGTGACCCCAAAGACAATGGGCCAGTCACTTTTCATTAAGGTCTGCACACAGAAAGCATTACATGGCATTTCTGAAGGGCTGCCTGTGCTTAGGGACAACATGCTCAAATGTCTCGTTGGAGCTCATGGTGCTAAGAGTTAAAACTACTATATAAAGTTGGGGTGGAGCTCCTGGTAGAACACTTGTCAGCATGTTTGAGGCCTCATGTTTGATACCTAGCATTGCATAAGAAAAAAAGAGTAAGTTATATTATTATAAGGTGGCATGATAGGACATGCCTGTAATCCCAGCATTTTGGAGGCTGAGGCAGGAGGATCAAGAGTTTAAGGCCAGCCGGGGCTACATCCCATTAAAAACAACAACAAAATTATAAATTCTATTTCTGATCAGACACTCAGTCCAAGTACCATGTTAACTGGAGTGTTTCCTCCCTTAGATCCAAAGAAGTGCATGATGTGGAGGAAAGATCCAGGAATAGAACAGATTCTGTTCTGAGTTAGCCCTGCCCCCAAGAAATCAGGACTACCAGGTCCTGGAAATGTAAACACATTGGGTTGTGAGGACAGACAGCTGCACTTCTCGCTGCCTCCTGGGGCTTCCGACTTACAATCTGAGATCCTTGGTTACAAAGAACAGCAACCAGGCAACTACATGGTTTATTTGGTTGGGTTTGGTTTTGTTTTACTTTGCCCTTATGTTCATATAATACTAAACTAAGGTCACATTTTCTAAGTGGTCTTTACCACTGGGTAGGTTCAAACTATTTCTAGCTAAAGCTGAGATTGTGAAAATAATACATTTTAATACTTCTGCCACAGCAGTGTCTTGTTTGTTTTAGAAACAATACAGTGAAAAGACAATGGTAACAGTTGCCTCCTTTTCAGTTCTGAGGCCAGAACATCACATTCTTCAGCTTTTCCACATCTGAGACTATCTTTTGCCAGAAGGACAGTGTGAGGCATTATGAGTGAACTGCCCAGAATACTCAGTCATCCAACTCCTCACTGCCAGGAGCCACTTCTGCCCAAGCAGGTCTCAGGTTGCCAGCAAGCACCAATTCCCTTGGGAGCTCCCTTCATGATGAAACATCAAATTCTCCCCATGGCCAAAAGATGAGAAAGAAGAAAAGAAAAAAAGTGGATGAGTAAAGTCTTTGCCTTCAAGTAGAATCATCGAGCCCTTTGTTCAGTTGCTCAGAATTACACTTGCAAAGCCGGTCCATAATGCTCTGGAGCATAGGCTGGACAATGCCCAGGAGTGGCCTTTTAGAGGGGTCACCATCCCAACATGCTTCCATCAACTGCCAGCATTCTTCATCAAACATGGGAAGGCGTTCTGGACGGGCCCCTAGAGAGAGAAGCATAGAAATAAGGCCAGTCAGGGAGAGCTGGGCATGCTCAGGATGCTAAGGTATACAAGGGGCTGGTATTTCCACTGCAAACACCCATTTATAACCTAACATGAATGGTGACACAAAACTGAAACACACTGGCTTAGAAAATTGAACACTGAAGATTTTAGCTCAGAGCACTAGTTGCTCTTGCAGAGGACTCAGGTTCAATTCTCAGCACAGTACCCACATGGTAGCTAACAACCTTCTGTAACTTTGAGGGAATCCAACACCATCTTCTGATCTCTCTGGGCATTGCACAACACGGATGCACTTACACACATGCAGGCAATACACTCAATATGCATAAAAAATTAAAATAATTTTTTAAAAAACACTATTTTTTCTTTTTTTCTAATTCTTATTTTTTTTAGAAGAAGCATTTCATTACAGCTTTAACATAGTCAATAACAGTTTCCAGAGCAAAGATACATCTCTTTCAAAAGTGGCTATGAATTTTTAGGTTCAAAAATTTATTTGAACCTAATAAAGGTTGAATTAATACAGTTAATATAATACTGAACTCAGTATAAGTCCTATAAGACATAAAATTGAGTTTTTAACCTTAAAAAAGATCTCCATTTCATTTTAAAATACACTGTTTCTTAAAGAAAGACTCATTGTTTTTGCTAATAACAGATTAGAGACACATGTGCAAAACTACTACTTTTGAGACAGTTCAATACAATGTTATTGCCAGCAAAGGTCTGATTTAAAATGTCTTCTGCTGGGTGTGGTAGTGCACACCTTTAATGCCAGCACTCAGGAGGCAGAGGCAGGGGGATCTCTATGAATTCAAGACCAGAGTGGTCTACACAGGGAGTTCCAGGTCATCTGGGGCTACAAGGGAGACTCTGTCTCAAAAAGACCAAAAAATAAAATGTCTTCTACAGGGCTGGAGAGATGGCTCAGAGGTTAAAAGCACTGATTGCTCTTGCAGAAACCCTGGCTCAGTTCCCAGCACCCACATGGCAGCCAACAACCACCTGGAACTCTAGTTCCAGGGGACCTGATGCCCTCTTCTGACCTCTGCCAGCACTACATGACATGAGTGCACTTACACACATGCAGGCAATACACTCACAGACATAAAATAATAATAAAATATTTTTAATGTCTTCTGCATTCTACAATGGTCTGTGTAATGTGGTTATGCTGTGGCCAGAGGATAACATGGTCTTGCCTCAGCTGCCTGGGCTGTCTGCTCTCAGTAGGGAAATTAAAGCAAAGCACAGTGACTCTTACCTCTGCGCACATTGTTCCAGAGATGGTCTTTGCTAGCACACCTCTCAAATGCCTCGGGGAGCTTGATAGAACCTGAGCAGATATACCAGAAAAGAATCCCAAAAGCGTAGACGTCCACAGAATTATCATACTTTCCTACAGTAAAGACAGATGAGAGACAGTGAGCTGAGGAAAGGGAGGCAGCACCAGGACAGCAGGTCCTTACACAACACTCTTGCCTAGAAGGCAGGGCACATTTACAATGCCCATTTTACAATGAAGAAATCTAGATGCTAAAAGAGCCAAGATGAGAATTTGCCAAAGGAGAAGGAAAATCAGGCCTTTCATTTTAGAGACAGTCTGTAAGATTAATTCAAAAGGTCATATTAGGAATATATGGGTTTGTAGGTACACCAGAACCAAAATTCAAAGATTATAAAGAATAAAAAGATTAACCAGGTGTGTTGGTGCACATATGTCATCCCGGCACTCAAGAGGCTAAGGCAGAAGAATTACAAGTTTGAGGCCAGTCTAGGCTACACAGTTAAGAACCTGTCTCATAAAAAGATTTTTTTAAAAATTTTTTTATTCTATGTGTATGAGTGTATTGCCTGCATGTGTGTAAGTGCACCCGTGTCATTCAGTGCTCTGGGAGGTCAGAATAGGGTGTTGGAGCCCCTGGAACTGGAGTTAAGGACAGTTGTTAGCTGCCATGTGGGTGCTGGGATTTGAACCCAGGTTCTCTGCAGGAGCAGCTCATGTTCTTTAACTGCTGAGCCATCTCTCCAGCCCCACCTCATAAAAAAAAAATTTTAAAGGCAAAGAGGAATCTAGATTTAGGGGACAGTTGAAGGTCATTTTTAAAAAATATTTTATTTATTATTTTTATTTTATGTGTACGAGTGCATTGCCTGCATGTATGTGAGTGCACCCGTGTCATTCAGTGCTCTGGGAGGTCAGAATAGGGTGTTGGAGCCCCTGGAACTGGAGTTAAGGACAGTTGTTAGCTGCCATGTGGGTGCTGGGAATCGAACCTGGGTCCTCTGCAAGAACAGTCAGTGCTCTTAACTGCTGAGCCATCTCTCCAGTCCCAAAGGTCATTTATTTTTTTAAAGTAGAGGTAAAAAAAACATATTTTACAAGTATTATTCTGACAGCAATAGGGTAGACAACAATCAAAGGAACTAAAATATGAAGTAGTCAAAACAGAGCAAACACTAGAGAAAGAGAACAACAAAGTAAACCCAGAAAAAGCAGAGTATCTGTTAAGTGGTTCTGACAGGCAGGATTACAGCTGTCTGCTGATGCCTAATCCTCTTTGTGTCACCTAATGAACAGTCAGGTGTCAACTTCCATAATATGAAAGAAATTCAAATGCACTGCTAATTTTTCCTTGTGCCAATACTAATGACTGGCCTGTCACTGCTGTCCCATCTTCCTTGGCATCCCCACCAGTCCCAACCACTTAAGGCTCCAGGTTTCACAGTCCTGGACGTCAATCATCCTTTTCTACGTATCACTCACATCAAGACAGCACTGAAGCTTTGTTTCAGCATCAGTACCAACCTAATCCTGGAAACAAATCATTGCTAACTGGTCTCCTTACACTGATTCTTCTCACTCAGATCCCCACTACTGACTGCCACACTGGTCTTCTGGGCACATTTTCTTTGCTTCTCTCCCCTGCTCAAAAGCTCACCAAGTCCTTACTTCTTTTATAACAACCCTAGCCCTCAGTGAGGATTTCAAGCTCAGAGGGTTTCTCTGTTCCCCAAGTGGATTTCTTTCCACTTTCCTTTCATGCCTCCCTCCTCTGTCTTTCCTCCTTCCTCTTCACTCTCCCTCTCTTTTAGACAGGGTCCCCCTGTAGCCCCAGCTGGCCTGGAACTATGTACACCAGGCTGGATTCCCGCTCACAGAGATCTACCTGCCTCTGCCTCCTGAGTGCTGGGATTAAAGACCTGTGTCACACCACACTTGGCCCTTTTTGCTGTTTTTTTTTTTTTTTTTTTTAGCTTTCATGCTTATTTCTATTCTGTAATTTCCATCAGTATTTTCCCTTCTCCAGCCTCCAGAAGCTTCCGCTTTCATGATACATGGTTGGGCTATAGAAAGAGAAAAGCAAATCACATGCCCATTACCTTCTAGCTCAATGTTCTGGGGATGAGTTACTTCATCAATCTGGTCCCAGCTTTATCCATGAAACTGACATAAAAATGTATCACCATTGGGGGCTGGAGAGATGGCTTCACAATTAAGAGCACTGACCACTCTTGCAGAGAACCAAGGTTTGGTTCCCATCACCCACATGGTAGCTAACAGCTGTCTGTAACTCCAGTTCCAGGGAATCCAACACCCTCTTCTGATCTCCTTGGGCAATGCACAACATGGGTGTACTTACATACATGTAGGCAATATATTCATACACATAAAAACAGTATTTTTAAAAATGTATCACCATCATCACAGAATTGCTGTAAGCATTAAGTAAAAAAAAAAAAAAAAAAAAACCAGAAACATGTTTGCAATTGCCTACTTCAAAGTGTAGACTTAAACATCAGTTCCCTTTCCACTACCAATTTTTCCAGACATGACTCAAGTTTTACCCCAGTCTCACTTCTACCATAAACCATCAACCATTTCAACTTTCATTTGTTCTTTCACGAAGTACCAACAGTATATTATATATCCCATAATTTAGCATTTAATGCTGCCTTACATTGCTTCCAAATTATTTTCTCTCTCTCTCAATATATGTCTATGCTGACTATAAGTTCTTTATTGAAGACAACTTTCATCATTTAGAAGTTATTCAACAAACACGTTATGATCAAATAAGTGACTAATTATGTCAATTACAGCATTAATGACCCATAGAAACATCCAAAAGTGTACTTGGTAACCACCGTTTATACTTTTCTTTTTCACTTCTTTACCTTTTCACTCTCCCCTGCCCTAGGTTTTCCCTGTTCTAGTTTCTTCCTTGCCTGTGCCAGACCTGCCAGCAGTACTTGTACAAGCTACTTTACCCCAAGGAATAGCACTCAAGGTTACAGTAGTGAGCGCTGCCTGGACCACTGCCCTTACCTGTGAAAAGTTCAGGGGCCATATGGATTGGTGTCCCCACAATGCTGCCTGACATCATGGCCTCTGGTTTGCAGAATCCTAAGTCAGTGATTTTGGCACGGTTTTGTTTGTCCAGCTGCCAAATAAAAGGGGGGGGTTAACTTGTGTTTCATGCTGCACACAGCATTCAACTGCATACCCAGCCTCAAAGCAGTGCTTAGTAAACCCTGCGTCCAACCTCATTATCTCCACATTCATCCCCATCACTGTCCTTTTCCCCATACTGTGAGCAACATGATGGCAGAAACTGTTTCTTTCATCTTTTATATACCTAGCACTAGCATGGTGTCCAGCACATACTAGGATTGTCATATATTTTGAGAGAATGAATAAGTGAAGGTCTGTGGAAGGACACTGAGGAAAACATTTCAGCACCTGATTCTCCTGTTGACTCCAGGGCAGAAAGTTGGAGAGAAAGTCAAGGTTTTTTAGTTGCCTGAGAAGAGTCCTGAACATCCTAATGGCTCAATACAGGACTGGGCATGCAGCTCTAGGCAGAGAGCTTGACTGGCATGAGCAAGGCCTAAGTCCTGTCCCCAGCACAGCAAAATGCCATAAAAACAAACAAGCAAAGAATGATCCAAGAGAATCAACATGTCCCATTTGGCTCCTAGCCTGACTCTTGAGTTTCTACCTACAAACTGGTAGCTTTCTCTGCTCACGAACTACAACTTTTTATGTTGCTCAAGTGTTGCCAGAAATACCATCTTGATACTATAATATACATATTTTTTCCTAAATTCTTTGTTACATTTTATTTATTCATTCATTCAGAGTGTGTGTGTGTGCACATGTGTGCACACCCACACATGCATACTTCAGAGAACAACTTGAAGGAGTTGGTTCTCTCCTTCCACCATGTGGGTCCTGGGGATTGACCTCAGGTCATGTTAGGCTTGGCAGTAAGTGCCCTTACTGGTTGAACCATTTCACAGGCCCTAATATATTTTTTTTGAAAGAAGTACATCAAAATATTTTTTATGATTTATGGAGACTGGAGAGATGGCTCAGCAGTTAAGAACACTGGCTCCTCTTCCAGAGGACCCAGGTTCGGTTCTCAGCACCCACACAGTAGCTAACAATCATCCATAACTCAAGACCCTAGGGATCCAACTCCCTCTTCTGGCTTCTGCAAGGAATGCATGCACAGTGTATTTACATACATACAAACAAAACACTCATATGCATAAAGTAAAAATTAATTTTAAAAATTAAAAAAGCTGCTTTATGATTTATATAACATGGTCTTAAGGTACATTTACTCATCTCAGCTCTCATCTAGCATCTCCCATCAAGCCCCCAAAATAACAAAGACCTGGACTCCTCAAAAATACTAATGCCATAAAAGCAAACAATGGAAAAGACTATTCTAGATTAGAGACCAAAGTAGCATGCTAAAAAAATAAACTATGGCATCCTTGGATTCAATCCTAGGTCAGAAAAACAGCAATTGGAGCCATAGGGTATATTAGAGACTGCTGAAAGAAATTAATATAGGGTATATGTTAAACAGCAGTACCATCAATGTGGAATTTCCTAAGTGTGATCATGACACTTTAATTATGTAGAAGACTCTTCTGTCTTAGGTCAGCCATACTGACATATTCAGGAATGAAGTATCAACAACTTACCATCATATAATACAAGAAAAACTAAACAAAGAACAAGACTGTAAGTGGGTACACTGTCAGGAACACAGAGCACAGGCATGTGGGTCTCTGTCAGGCCATTCTTAACTGTTCTTTGAGGTTAGAACGTCTCAATAGTGGAGGAAGAAAAAGCCATCCCATATAAGGCAATTTGATGAAACTCCTCCTCAAGCTGAAGTCTAAGATACCATCTACCCTCTAAGGCATTAACTCTACTACTTTCCATGTGGACTTTTCCTAGGACCAAGGTGACTTTTGCAGGTATGCACCAAAAGGTCACTCCCCACAGAAGCAGGGAATCTTTTCAACACAGCTCTTACCAGCACATTCTTCAGTTTGATGTCACGATGGACAAGCCCCTGGCTGTGCAGGAAGCGTATTCCCTCTACCACATCTAGAGCAATCTGCAAACGTGTCTCCAGGGTCAGTCCAGCCTTAGGAAGACAAAAGAAGCTAGATGTTATAAGAGCTAACTCTTATAACCAACTGACACTTCCGTTTGTGCGGACTAAACGACTTACTATGGCACAAAAGTACAGAACGGTAAATGGGAAATAAGGGAAGAGGAAAGCAGCCAAGGAAGGGAAGAAGCAGAGAAAATAAGCTGTACTGCACACAAAGCAAAATAAAACCCTTCACAGGTGGCAGGTGGCAGCAGGATAGTCCCCAGGTGTGAGTAGAAGAACTGCCTCTGGCTGCCTAAAGCAGGAGCTCATTTCTACCATTAGAACAACTCAACTTGTTCACGGCAGATTTGCTCTCACTGCTTGGTTAGCCCAGGTTTGATTTTATGGGTTCCAATACAATGTCACTATGAAAATGTCCTTCAAATTGCTCCATAAGATCAAATGGGGTCCTCTAGCCCACGTACAGAAAAGTCTCAGATGCTACTGAGTCTGATTCTTCTGAGAAAAAGAGGGAGCCCACTGGAGGCTCTTTCTTCATGTCATTGACTCCCTGTGACTCCTGGAACATTTGTCAGTTTTCTCTACTTTATTCTGAAGTCTCCATGTAAGCCTATACAAGGGACCCATGAGACAGGACCTAACCAAACACTGAGGCCAGCTTTTCTCTCCTACTCAGCTCCAATGTAAGGAACATAGAAGAGAAACCCAATTCCTCTCTGGCGACTGTTTTAGATGAGAACTGGAAAGCCAGCATTCAACCGAGGAATTCATCTTTACTCAAATGAAATTCTTCAGTGGCATATCTCAATTCAAGATCATATAACAAGATTTTATAAGTGACTTTGTGATCGACCCCCACACCTCCCTGTGGTGTGTGGACTGAACTTAAGACCACAAAAGCACTCTTATCACTGAGTTATATCTCAAACCCCATATAAGTGATTTCTGCTTTGAACCTTACTGGGGCCTGTGTTAGAATCTGTAGATTACATAGCCTCTCAATATCTATAATTAACTAGAATTTGGATTTTTAAAAAATTTTAAATTTTGTGCGTATGTGGTGTTATGGACAGTGTGTGAACGTATGTATGTATGAGGAATCGCTCCTTGATCACCACCTTTATTTTTCGAGAGAGTCTGTCACTGAACCTGAAGCTCATCAATTTGCAAGGTCAGGGTTATAAGCACATGCCCCATGCCTGGTTTTTTATGTCAGTTCTGGGGATCTCTCCATCCTCAGGAAATAGTCACTGACTGCAATTCTCATGCCTGGAAATTATACATTTTTTTGCTATTATCTAACCATCCTTAACATGGCAGCCTACACAAAGTGGTCACTAGAAAGTATTTGTTGACTAAACAAAAAATGGCTTCATCCAGCAGAGTGACAGTGAGGCGTTCTATTCTTCTAAGGGTCTAGATGATTCATCATGCCATGGAACATCAAAGAGGTGAAGAACAGCATTCTGGATATATATTGGAGCAAAAAAAGATTCTGAGAAATGTTTAAGGTATTCTGGAAAGAATGCAATAAAGCCAGATTACTTAAACAATTTCTATGAAAGCTAGAAGCTTTCATGAAGTCCAGAAAGGAAGGGCTGGACCTGGCTCCAGGTGGGTCTTGTGCCCTTATCTGGCCTCACCTTCAGCCCAGTGTAGAGGTCTCGGTGCAGTCGCTCCATAATGAGCAGCACAGCAATGCTGGAGCCGCCACCATAGTTGTAATCAATGACTGATCCATGAAGATCTACCAATCTCTCATGCTTTGGCAGAGACCTGTGGGAAAAAGAAACACCATACATGGACTCTAATTCTGCATGAGCTGCCTGGATGTAGGAAGAAGGGACCTCACAGCCACACTTAGTCCAAGTCTAGACAGAGGAAATGGGAACTGCTTCTCCACCAAGATCAAAGAAACATGAAATCTAAATACTGATAAACCTTAAGGACTATAAAGAAAACAGAATGAAGAGTCTGAGAAATTATGATGACAGGAAAAGACCAAAGACAGTATGTCTGGGCTAAACCCTCAAACACTAGTCTCTAACATTTTGAAATCTAGGTATAGAGAGTCAGGATGTGCTGTAGCTCTTGGCAGAAAAATTATTCCAGCCTTCTGTTCTTCTCTGGATCTTTCCCAGAGAAATGAATGAGACCAGGCCCCACCTCATGTAGTGAAACTCCAAGGCCAGATCATTCCAGTGCTTCTCATCTGGAGGGACAACCGACTTGAGGGCACAAGGGAAGTGTCCCCCCCAGTTGTCACACAGGTACACCACACCATATTGGCCCCGGCCCAGTTCTTGTCCTAATTTAGGTTTACCTGTAAGACACAAAGACAGCAATAAGGCAGGAGGGATAAGAACTCACCAGCAACCTCTTTAAGACTCTTAGATGCAGACCTGACTAGAGGCCAGTAAGTCAGTTGTGCCGTAGGAAGAAACTCAAGTGTCATTCTAATCCAACAGAAAGTAACTGACATGGACTACTTTCAATAAACTTTGATCATGTTATTCATATTACATAAACAGCAGAACCAAACAGACCACAGGAATTCAAAAGCACACCAGAAAGTACTTGGGCAGCTTTGCAAGGTAGTAGCAGCCTAAGACACTGGAATTCTCGGGGGCCAGGCATAAGAATGCCAGAGATGGTGAACTCTCCTCTAATCTCCTTGGAAAGAAACAAGGACTCACGGTGCAGCAGGACATCCTGTAAAGAACGGCTCTCCAGAGAAAGGCGGGCCAGGCGAGGGGCATGATCTTTTCGAACCCGTAGCCACAGATCTTCGGTTTTCTCCAGACGGCCAGAGTGGCCAGCTTCCAGCTGGGAGGGAAACAGGAAAAGATAACATAACTTTAAGTCCCTCACCTCAGCTTCCCCATCCGTTACATAGGAAAAATAATATCTTGCTCATGTGAAAAACTGTGAGAACTGAATGACATGTAAATGGCACGTCTAACACAGTGATTAACACATAGTGAACTATCAGGTCATTTTTTTTTCTCTTCTGTTCATATTCTCTTTCTCTCTCTCTCTCTCCATCTGTGTGTGTGTGTCTGTTTGTCTCTCTTTTTCCTCACACTCATCACACAGCAGATGGCACATAATTGTGAACTGGAATGAAGTTAGAAAGTCATTTCTTGGGACTGGGCTCAGTGGTTAAGAACACTGACTTGTTCTTGCAGAAGACTCAGGTTCGATTCCCAGCACCCACACGGCAGCTAACAACTGTCTGTAATACCAGTTCCAGGGTATCCGACAGCCTCTTCTGTCCTCGCAGGCATTGCACGACATGGGTGCACTTACCTGCACACAGGCAATACACGCACACACATAAAATAAAAATAATAAAATATCTTAAAAAAAGATCCACATGAAAAATTTGCTGATGACACTTCCTATAACATGTTATTCTTTACTAGAATAAAAATAAAATATACTAATAAGTTTTCAAAATTATCAGGACAGCAAAAAGCAACTGGTTCCCCTGTAGATGGGGCTCCTCTCATCTTACCCCAGCTTTATCTTCTTTCCAACATACCAACCTGCCGCAAGGAGGCTGCAAAAGCCTCATGAGAACTATTGAGCCGAGTGCGGAACTGGCTGCAAATGCTCTTGGCCAATTTGGAGGCACTGAGGCTCTCGATCGCTTCCTGGGCCACCTTCCTCTTCCACTCTAGAGTGATGGCAGGTGGGCTCACCCATGTGATACGCTGGATGATCTGCCAAATGAGGACAGTAAGATCAATGAAGGATGGAGAAGGCTCCAACAATGCTTCCTTCACAGGAGCCGTATTAAACCCAATGTCCTCTCTAACTCCATCTACCTCAATAGCAGGGTTCAGCCAGAGGAAAGCATCAAAGAACAGTAGGCCTACATTAAATGCTTGCAAACACTCAGCATGTTACATTCAGAGACTAACTGATTAATCTCGTTATGAAGCAGTGAGGAACTCTGCTTAAGCCAGGCCTGTTGGTACATGCCTTTAATCCCAGCTCTCAGGAGGCAGAGGCAGGCGGATCTCCTGTGAGAAAGCGGTCATCCTGGTCTACATTGAGAGTTCAGGCCAGCTGGGGCTACAGGGAGATCTTTTCTCAAAACACCAAAAATAAAAAGAACACACACACAAAAAAACTCTATTTAAGATCCAAATTCAGAACAGGAACCACTTTCTTGGCCTCTGGTAATAACAATGCCTAGGTTTTTGTTGGTTTTGTTTTCAAGGTGCTAGGAATCAAACCTAGGGCCCTGCATATGTTAATCAGTATACCACTGAGCTATATCCCCAGCCCCAACAATGCCTAGGTTTGAGAAAACATTTAGGCTCAATACAAGAACTAAGTAGCTAATGAAGTGGAATTTTGTGGCTCATGAACTATCATGTAAACTCAACACTTTTAAGAGTTAAGGGAGGGGGCTGGAAAGGGTAAAGAGAGCTTACTGCTCTTGCAGAGGACCAGGGTTCATTTCTCAGCACCAACATGGCAGCTAATAATCATCTGTAACTCCAGTTCCAGGGGATTCAATGACCTCTTCTGTCCTCTGTGAGTACCAGGCATGCACATGGTGTACAAACATACATACTTGCAGGCAAACACTCATACACATAATATAAAAATAAATAAATCTGAAAATTAAAGTGAACATTGGTAATCTATTTGAGAATATGTATATACCAGAATTCTCTCAGACAGGCAAACAAGAACAAGGCCACCCTAGTTACCATAGATGCTGAGACTCTGTTCTCTGTTGGTAGGTCTAAAATATAAATAAGCCAAATAAGGACTAAAAAATGATTCTTCTAAGGAACTCTTACCTGCTTGATTTGCTCCCACAGCATCCTCGTAACTGAAGACCCTGAGTGAAATGTGACTTCAACATGATAGGCAGCATTTAAGATCTGAAAGAAAACACATTAAGGAATATGTACAGATAGCTCTTTTTAAATTGTCCTGTTATTTACTGCAAGAACCAGAGTCTAGCCAGACACGGCACATGCTTGTAATCTCAGCACTTGGGAGGTGGAGGAAGGAGGATCAGGAGTTCAAGGAGAGCCTCAACTAACACAGCAAGTTCAAGGCCAGGCCAACCTCAACTATACAACACCCCTTTCCTACCTGCCCACTCAAACAAAAGAACCATAGTCCAGTCTCAAAGTTTCTGAGTTTATCCCTCTATATATATGGAGTCAACTTAAGTCGACCACCTATTTTGTGACTAGTTAGACCTTTTTACCTCCTATTTAGTTTTATTCATTATCATTTTATAGTTCACCAGTACCTCCTACAGGGAGTGTTCATGTGAGAAGAAAACAAAATGAAATTCAAATTAGACTGGTTAAAAGAGAAATTCTTGGCTAATATAAGGAAAGGGTTGTACATGAACCATTCCATATGCTATCTGTGATTCCATGTCTTAGCAACCATTCTTTGCATACCTGTTTGAGATAATTACTGGTAATATGAACTGAGATATCCTGTGATTTTTCAAGGCTCTGTAGACACCGTTCCAGGGTCCCAACGAAGCTCTCACGTAGGTAATCCACTGAGCTAATCAGCTTATTAGCCACTGCCTGATTAAGCTGGGAGATGATGAGCTCCTGGATCTGTCGGATGCAGCATTTGATCTCTCTGGTGCCTACTGGTTCTCCATTCTCAGGGACAATGACATCTATAGAGATAAAGACTACACTAGTTAGCTGTGAAGGAAAGGGGGAAACACACTAAACAAGGCCATCTCCCAAGTCATCACCAATGAACTACCATGACAATAGCTACAAAGAGACATGGTTGATGAACTCTGATTCTTAGTTTGATGAGGGGCCATGCAATGCTCAACTACTTAAGGCAGATGGGACATAGAAGTTGAGTCTGTTGACTTTGTTAGCTTTTATGTTGCAATTATAGGAGTGGAAGAACACTATTTATTGAATGCAAACTATTTGAAAGGCACAATAATAAGTGTTTTACATAATTTAATTTCTGTTTCTTTGGGTTATTTTTTGGTCTTTTTGAGACAGGGTCTCCTTGTAGCCTCAGCTGGCCTAGAACTTACTATGTAGGCCAGGCTGGCCTTGAACCTACAGAGATCCACCTACCTCTACCTCCCGAATGCTGAGATTAAAGGCATGCACCACCAGGCCCAGCCTAATTTAATTTCATCTTCACAGTAATTTTGCTAGATAAGTATTACTAGTTATAATCCATAAATCAGGAAACAGACTCAAACAGGTCAAAGTAGGCACTGGGGGAAAGGATGGTACAGCTAGGAAGTAATACAGCTAGCATTTAAGGCCAAAGTTCACTGGTTCCAAAGCCTAAGATCTTTATAAAATATCTACTGCCTACCATATTAATCAGACAAGTCCAAGGATCAGGAATTTTACTTGAGCCAATTATTAAATAAAATTTGAAGCTCAACTGCTATACCTATTGTGCCACTACCTCTCAGGATTAAAAAATCTATCTTGAGGCCAACAACGTGGTTCAGTGGGTAAAAGGCACTTACTGCCAAGCCTAATGACTTGAGTTTCATTTCTGAATTCTACATGGTGGAAGGAGAGAGTCAACTCTTTCAAGCTGTCCTCTGACCTCCACACATATTCTGTGGCACATAGCTTCCTCAAATAAATGAACAAATATAATCTTAAAAAAATAAAGAGGACAGGTGTGATGGCACACACCTTTAATTCCAGCACTCTGAAGGCAGAAGCAGGAGGATCTTTGAGTTCCAGGCCAGCCAGGGCTACACAGCGAGACCTTGTGTCAAAAATAAAACAAAAATAAAAATAAAAGACAAACTTTTTTTAAAAATAGAGAGGAAAGAAGTTTAAAAAAAAAAATCTGTTCCCAGGAAGGCACTCTCAAATTTGTCGGAAATTTATATTGATACTTCCTGTGCAAATGGCAGTAATCAAAAATTTAAACCAACCAACTAACAATGAAGATATGGGCTAGAGAGACAGTTCAGTGGTTAAGGGTACTGGCTGCTATTGCAGAGGAACCCCATGGGTTTACTTCACAGCACCCACAGGGTGGCTAATGACCATCTGTAACTCCAGTTCCAGGGAATCTGATGCCCTCTTCTGATCTTCATGGACTCTACACATACATGATGCACTTACATACATGCAGTCAAGACACTCATACACATAAAAAACAAATAAGTTAATAAATAACATGTTTTTAAAGATAAAATCATACATACCCTTTGGCCTAATTATTCTGCTTCTAAAAATTATTTTTCTAGAAATCTATCCCTACAAATCTCAAAGATTATATGTACAATGATGATCAGTTCAGTAGTTTGTAATACCAAAAGAGGAAGGAAAAAAAAAGGAAACAGCCTAAATTTCTACCAAGAGGGGAAAATGAGTTGAGGCACACCCATTAGAAGACAGATATAAACACACATTTGTGAAAAGCTTTCTAAGCTATACATTGGAAAAAGAGAAAAGGAAAATTCAAGAGAACCTAAGGAGAGGAACTGAATGCTTGGGGGACAGTGTCTTCATATCTTTTAATTAAATATCATGTGTGTACATATATCTTTTTTAAGAATGGGGGTAGGGTATATCATATAGCTTAGTGGTAGAATGCTTGTCTAGCTCAATTCCTAGGCTCAATTCCCAGTACCATAAAATAAGCAAACAATTTTTTGACTTGTAACTCCCTATATAACCCAGGCTGACCTTAAACTCATGATCCTCCTGCCTCTTTCTCCTGAGAGCTGGGATTATAGGCATATGCCACCATACCTAGGTTAAACATAAACATTTTCTAAAGTATGTGCATCCTATTACCCACCATGCATGTATGGCCTTTATTTAAAGACAAATAACAACTGAAATCTGGCTCTACCAGATTATATGAAAGCTCTATTTTTTTTTCTTTTTGAGACAGGGTCTCCCTGTAGCCCCAGCTGTCCTGGAACTCACTATGTAGACCAGTTGGCCTTGAACTCACAGAGATCCGCCTGCCTCTGCCTCCCGAGTTCTGGGATTAAAGGTGTGCGCCACCACGCCCGGCTGAAAGCTCTATTTTAAATCCACTTATTATTGCTTCAAGGTATCCAGAAAAGACTCAGAACAAGGTAAGAGTCAGCTATTGAACTGTACCTAATATGTAGTCACTAAGTGCATAGATCCACAAACCTACAATGCAGTCAGTGGAGTCAGACAATTGATCTACTTGCTCCAGTTACTGATCTGTTTAAGCTAAACACTGTATCCGACGTACTAAAGATGGTATTCCTGGCATAGTACAGTCAGATATTATACTATCTATCTAAGCCTGCTGCCCTGACCTGCTGTCATCATGTGTATTGATACATCATGGTCCTTAAATATTCAGAGGACTTCCTAGAACTTCCACTGTAAGTGAGCATTTCTCAGCCACTCCACAGAGGAAATTTACCAAAGATGTATCGTTGTTCATTTTTACAGAGAAAGGGAGGAAAGGGAGACAGGAAATGAAAGAGATTCTATGTTACTTGATGTAAGGTGTAAGATGATGAATAACCCCAAGTTCATATTCTTCAACTTTGGAATTTTAGAAAATAGGAGTCATTATAAGAGAAAAGATGACAGGTTACAGGTGGAATGCTGTGGGTGTACAGGTGAGTGGAATTTGAAGGGTAGATACAATCTGGAAAAATTCATAGAAAAATAAAAGACATTCCAGACTTAAGTTAATATACATGCAAAAGGGTTAAGGGGGTGTATGGAGGATAGCAAACAGCTAAGACCAACCCATTTAAAATTATAGGAAGGTAAAGACTAGAAAATAAGATTGATAAAGTTTCTCTGGGCTTTAGAAGCTCTCTAATACTAGGTGTTTAATACTAGGTGTTATAAGAACAGGGATCCAGTAAAGATGAAGTAGAGAAAGAAAAGAAACAGTCAGGGGGACTGATTAGGTAAAAATAGTACAGTTAGACTACAGAAGGCATAATGGGAGTGGTGGTACATGCTTATAATCCCAGCATCTAAGAGGCTGAGGCAAGAGGATTTTAAGTTCAAAGCCAGCCTGGGCTACACAATGAAAGAAAGAGAAAAAAGCTTTCATCAGCAGATATAAAATAGCAGAGGACTCATGAGCACTTGGCAACTGGGTACACATGAGAATGTAGGAAAGACTAGTAAGGATATGCTGAGGCTCTGAAGCTGAGTGCCAGGAAGAAGTGGCATCAGTAACGTAGAACAGTTTAAGAAGCAGTGAAACACTGAAATATCAAACATGGGCTCTAGAATTAGATTGTCTTAATTCAAATCCTGCCTCTATTACTAATTGTGGGAACTTGGGTAAAATTATTTGTCCCTTTTACGCCTTTTGCTCTGTGATAGTTTGAATAAGAATGTTCCCCATAGGCTCCAAGTATTTTGTCCCCCCTTGGTGGCGCTGTTTTGGGAGGTCTTAGAAAGTGTGTCCATGCTGGAAGAAGCATGTCACTGGAGACAGAATGAGACAGTTAAGGTGTGCTCATACTGGAGGAAGCACATCACTGGGGGTGGGCTTAGAGAGTTCTTAAGCCTTGCTGGATCTCCAGTCACACTCTGCTTCTGTGCCTGCTTGGAGGTATGAGAACTTAGCTTCTGCTCCTACTCTAGTCATCTCTGCCACCATACCTCCCCACTGTAATGGACTCTTGTACCTCTGGAACCGTAAGCTAAATAAATTCTTCCGTTTATAAGTTCCCTTGGTCATGGTGCTTCTATCACAGCAACAGAAAACTAATACATGTGCCTTCATGTAAACAATGGAAATAATCAGAATCCATCTAGGGAAGGTTTTGGAAAACAGCACCATGCTTCATCAATCCTGATGAAGTCTGGAGTGGTCTTTCATAGTCTTGAGCACCAGTATCTGAAAAGCCCTGAGATGATGTGCATGTGTTCCCATGATTGAGAATCTAAAGAGTAACCTGCGAAGCACGTCATTTTAACTACTGTGTGGTAGACTTAATGCTCATGGAGGCTCAGTATAAAAGTCATCAGTATAAAAGTCAACAGCATCCAAACCTCAGACACCAAAACCCTGACCCACGGCTTTGCCCAACTTTGTTAACAGTTGTTTGTGAAAAGTGGGACTGCCAGAAAAGCTAAAATTATGTTGGGAAATTTTCCTAAGCTGGATTTCAAGAACAACCTGAAGACAAAATAAGACTATGAAACAAGGGGGCTGGAGAGATGGCTCAGCAGTTAAGTATACTGACTGTTCTTGCAGAAGACCCAAGTTCGAATCCCAGCACCCACATGGCAGCTAACAACTGTCTGTAATCCAGTTCCAGGGGATCTGATGGCCTCTTCTGTCCTCCGAGGGCATTGCATGACAACGGTACACTTTGTAACATGCAAGCAATACACTCATATACAGAAAATAAAAATAATAAATATATTTTTTAAGAAGTCCATGAGACAAAAGGCAACACCATGAGACAGCCTGAGTCATGCTAAAAACAGCAAAGGTGAAATACAACATTGTCAAATTCTCCAGGAATACAAGGATAGAGACAAAAAAGGAGATTAGAACTATCAGGGAGAATTCAGCAAAAGTTGGGCTAATGGTCTTGGGGTGAATCTTCAAGATCTATGAAACCAAGACAGGCCACCTCATCTGACTTACAGTGGCTGTCTCTTAGTGGACTTTAGGAATCAGCATATTCAGCTTCAAGCCAAAAGAATCAGATGTTTCTGCAGTCCTGGCATCCCACCAACTATCTAGAACCTACCTTTAAACTCCATGTTGGTAGCATCATCCAGAAGTTCCTCTTTCATAGTGTTAAGTGTCTCAACAATCATATCCTTCATTTCTTCCTGTTTTCGGTTAGCAATATTCATCAATGATTCATACAACTCATTTTCCTTTTTTCGGGTATATTCTAGACGTTTAGGAGTGATCTGCAGATCCCGCTGCATGTCAAAGGCCTGGTTAATAAAGATGTCAAGGCAGTGGCAGTGCACCAGGTTCAGAGCCTTGGCTGCATCCACCAGGCGTGTCTGTAGCAGCTGGTGAGAAAATGTGCTCAAGAGTCTCAGCTTCTCACTTTGCTCCACCAACATGCTCTGAGCTTTGCTGTCTTGACCAGGGGCTCCACAGTTCCAATGACTGCTGCTCAGATAGCCCAGGTCCACTAGCCGGTGATATAGTGGTGATCTTTCACTCTCCAATCTCCCAGTGGAAGAGTCGATTATCTCCAGCTTGGGTACTTTGAAAAAGAACATGGGAAAGGAGAAATACTTTCGAATTTCCTGCAGCTCTTGCTCATCCCTTTCAGAGAGTTCATCTTTGTGGAGTGCATATGTTATCACAGGCAAGAAATCATTCACCAAGTCTCCCAGAACATCCACCACAGGCCGGTGGCTATGGCATGGTGCCACTACAATGTCCACTTCCTAGAAGGAGAAGGGGTTCAAATCAGAACTTCAGGGTCAGAACCAATCCTTGCCTCCCTAAAGTCTCACCTACATTGAGACAAAAATCCAGATATATAGTGGAACAACTGGACTTCAGTGCACCCAATCATTGCCCACCTCCTTCCATGGTTCCCAGCAGCCCCTTGTGCAACCAACAAAGGCAAGCACCCATCTAGAGAGCAGAAAAAGTAAGTTGAAAAGATGGCAGTCCCTTCAGTCATTTCAGATGCAAGAATACTTAGTCCCTGCCTTCCTTTGATGCTTGTAAATTCCTATTGAATCCCTGTGAAAAGGAGACAAGTAACAGTTATGGCCAGTGTGGTGGTGCACACATTTAATTCCAGCACTCGGGAAGCAGAGGTAGACAGATTTCTGTGAGTTCAAGGGCAGCCTGGTCTACATAATGAGTTCCAGGACAGCTGGAGCTATAGGGAGACCCTGTCTCAAAAAAAAAAAAAAAAAGAAAAAAGAAAGCAAAGGAGACAAATAATGGAAGAAAAATAGTTATTGTTATAGCAACCATCAGGAAGCACACCTAGATTCCTCCTCCTCTTGCCCTCCTCTCACACCCACATCCCCACTTACTAGCCTAAATTCAGTATCCTTTAAATATGGATGTATATGTCTTTATAGTTTTTCCTGTTACAGAATCCCTGGCATGCTTTACTTCTTTTTATTCATATTCAACATAAAGTTTACTTAATTAAAACTCATCTTGTTCAGACAGACATGGTAGAACATTCCTGTAGTACTGGAATTTGGGAGCTGGAGGTGAGAGGTTCAAGAGTTTTTTGCTAGCCTGGGACACAGTGAATTCTAGGCCAAACTTGACTGGAACCTAGTGAGACCCTGTCTCAAAATAAAAGGAAAATGGAAAGAAAAAGTGAAGAAGGAAGAGGGAAGGGGGAAGAAAGGAGAGAAGGAGAAGGGAAGATGTTTGTGCTTCATTAGCCTATAAACACTTTGAAGGCAGAGACCCTGTTTATCTTAGTCACTATCAGAACTCCAATGCCTAGCACAAGTAAGTCCTCAATATCATAACTAGTTGTTGAACCAACCATCACACTGCAAATTGATAGCCAAGTTTATCAAATATTATTTCTATATTAGTATAAGATTCTGCAGCTATTCCAACACCTCAGCTACGTAAGTTGTCATAGAATATGATCATTTGAGGACTGGAGGAATGGCTCAGTGAGGAGAAGTGTTTGCTGTGCAAGGATGAGGATCTAAAGTCAGATCTCCAGCACCCATGTATAAAGCTAGGCATGGCTGTGTGTGTCTGTAACCACAGCATTGGGAGGTGCAGGAGCAGAGACAAGAGAATTCCAAGAACTCCCTGGCTTAACAAACTTCAGGTTCAATGAGAAACCCTGTCTCAAGGCAATAAGGCCAAGAAAATAGCAAAAGTCCTGCTCTGGCTTCCACATGAGCGTGCACCTGCACACTCACATGCATATACCATGTGTGCACATGTACACACACATACGTGAATATGATCATTTGATATAGCAGATAATAAGGCTCACCAAGGCAATACTTAGCCTTTATATTTTGCAGAAGGAGGGGTGGGACAAGAAAGAGCAAGAAAGAGTGCAAGACAGAGAACGAGAAAAAACTGATTCTACCAACTATGCTCTTTGGCCTTGTCCATCTTCCTTCCACATGCAGATGTGCTGGCTAGAGCAGAGAAGCATGTAGCTGACCAGGAAACCTACAGGTGGACGCCAGCACCCAGAATGATGAAGCAAAAAGAAGGAAGCCTGGCTCCTAATTGCCTATCTGCAGATCCTTTTATGTGAGAGGGAAAAAAAAAATCAAACCATCTTGCTTAAGCATTTGTTTTTGTGATGGTCTGTTACAGGTAACAGAACTCAATCTTAACTGATACTCTAAAGGCTGTGAATTTCCAGAATGATCTTTGGTTTAGAAATAAATCTTCCATGGGTCTTTCTCTTAGGGCATAATATCTGCTTTTGTTTTCTCCTTTCCTGAGGAGTGTCATAGATTTCTATCCAACACACAGTTGCTCCTCACCTCTCTGAAATTGTCTTCATAAAGGTCTGAGTGGGGACACTGACCAGTTATCATCACTAACACAGATGCACAAACTCCTGCTGCTTCCAGAGGTATGAAAATTCAAACCAACCCTCCTTACAGAGTTATCTGACAGAGTTCTAAAAGAATTCATCACCATCTGTTTAAGTCCTTAACAATTACCAGACTAGACTGAACATTTATTTGAAGTCTAAGATAGAACAATTTTATTTCTTACCTTCTTTGAGAAAAACACATGCTTGTGCTTCAATTTTATTTGTCTTTTTTGAGAGAGGAATCTCTCATGTAGCCCAACTGGCTTCAGACTTACTGTATAACCAAGGCTGGACTTGAACTCCTGATCCTTCTCCCTCTACTTCCCAAGTGCTGGGATTAAAGGTTTGTCCTATCATATTTGACTAGAAGCAGCTTTCCTCTTTTTTTTTAAACCATTTTACTTATTAATTTTGTGTGCATGTGTGGGCTTGTACATGCTACAGTGTGCATGTGAAGTCAGAGTACAACTAGTGGAAGTCAGTTCTCTCCTTCCACACATGGGTCCCAAGGATCAGGCTTGACAGTAGGGGCCTTTATCCACTAAGCCATCTTGTCAACCCCGGAAGCAGACCTATCTCTATCTATCTATCTATCTATCTCTCTCTCTATCTATCTATCTATCTATCATCTATACACACACATACATGGGTGCGTATGTGTGCGCACGTGTGTGTGTGTGTGTGTGTGTGTGTGTGTGTGTGTTCCCTCACCCATGCGTTCAATGCCAGTGGAGGCCAGAAAAGGGTGTCAGATCCCTTGGAACTGGAGTCATAGATGGTTGTTAGCTGCCATGTGGGTGCTGGGAACCAAACCTGGGTCCTCTGAAAAAGCAGTCAGTTCTCTTAACCACTGAGCAATCTCTCTCCAGTCCCCCGCCAAGACTGTATTTTTTTTTGCAACAGCACCCCCTCAATCCAAACTGGCCTGGAACTCGCTGTGTAGACCAGGATGGCCTTGAGTGCTAGGGTCAAAAGGCGTGCACCCCGACACCTGGCAGAAGCAGCTATTTTTGATAAAAGATATTAAGAACAAAATCTTTGTATTTTTTCTTCTTTGATATTCTCTAGATAAAAAAAGCCTGGGAAGTGCCAGCCTATCTATCTAGTATGTTATCTATAAACACTCACAATGCTTGTCAATGTACTGTATTTTTGGTTTATTCTTTATCTTTCCCATTCCCAGAAAAGCACAAAGGTCTCACCTTCTTGCCAACAAAGAACTAAACTTTATTTTTGGGTAGGTCACATGATATTCATTTGGCTGGTGACTTTGAACTCCAAGGAAGGTAAGGGCCTTTTAGCATCTCCTCATTTGTAATTTGAGCAAACACTGCATAAATCCATCTACTTCTTGTTGAAGCCCAAGCCGAGAGATGCTGTTTCATCTGTGCTTCAAACTGCAGGGAATGTTCTGGTTGGAAAATGTGTCTGACTCTCATTCTGCTGTCCAAAACAGCCCTTTCCATACCCTATACATGCTGAGTCACTTCAGGGAAGCACTTCCAAAAAGTTGGCAATAAGAAATTCTAAGGTTTAATTGGAATATACAACTGCATAAATACCAACAGCATAATCACATGTAATAAGGAGAAAAAGGCTAAAAAGAATCCCAAGGAAGAGAAAACTACTACATAAATTAAAAAAAAAATTTTATTTGGGGCCAGCTGGGGCTACAGGGAGACCCTTTCTCAAAAAAATAACCAAAAAAATTAATTTAAAAAAATTTTTAAAGGAAAAAGGGAGAGGGTGATGGAAAGGAAGAGAGGAGAGAGTGTTGATTCTTTCCTTCCTCCTTGTTTTGAGGCAAGATCTTTAGGATCTGTTGCTGTGCTGCATACTCCAGGCTAGCTGACCCACAAGCACATTCTCCTGTCTCTGCCTACCACCTGTTATAGGAGTCCTGGGATTACAAATGCTTGCTACCACATCTGGCTTTTTACATGGGTCTCAGGATCAAAATCCGGTTTATAAGGCAAGTGTTTTACCCACTGATTCACTTCTCTGGCCCATATACTAGATAAATTATAAGGATTTTTTTTTAACTAAAAGCTCCTCTAAATTTACCTTTTTTTTTTTTTTGAGACAGAGTCTCATATATCCCAGTCTAGCCTCAAACTTGCAATGTTGTCAAGGATGACCCTGAACTCCTGATCCTCCTGCCTCCACACCTGAATGCAGGCTTGTGCCACCACGCCTTCTTTAATGTAGTGCTAAAGACTGAAGCCAGGGCTTCATTCACGCTAGGCAAGTGAACTCTGCCAACTGAGCTACATTCCAGCCCAATATATACATTTTTTAAAAATATATTATTTAGAAATTTTCACAGGAGGGGCTGGAGAAATGGCTCAGCAGTTAAGAGCACTGGCAACTCATAACCTAATAACTCTAGTTCCAGGGGATCTAACACCCTCTTCTGGCCTCTGGGGGGCATTGCATAGCATGGGTACACTTACATACATGCAGGCAAAATACTCATACACATAAGTTTAAATTTTAAAGCCAGGCATGGTGGTACACAGCTTTAATTCCAGCACTTGGGAGGCAGAGGCAAGTGGATCTCTGTGAGTTTAAGGCCAGCCTGGTCTACTCTTAGTTCCAGGCCAGCTGGGGCTACAGGGAGACCCTTTCTCAAAAAAAAAAATTAATTAAAAAAAATTTTTTTAAAGAAAAAAAAGAAATTTTCCATAGGAAGGAATTCAGGTCTGGTATTGTAAACTTTGTCAAAAGCCCCTGGCTTGGGAAGTCATAGACCCTAGGAGGGAACCTACTACTTCTGTCTTGCTAGCTGGACATACTGTCAAACACTGACCTCAACCTTAGTCAAAGAAGCTTCTCTCTGTAGTGGTCAACAGTTAATGCAAAGACTAGTCACAGTGCTGAGAATAA